ACACACACACACACACACACACACACACACACACACACACACACACACACACACACACACACACACACAATAAGAGATTTTCAGTCACCCTCAATAAGAGAAGAAGACTGGACAGACCTAAAGTTCCTGCAGCATCTTATATGAGGCCAAACAGGTGCCTTTTGCCGCTTTTTCTTCTCATCACAGAAACAGTAGGGGAGGGCTTAGCTTCAGCTCCACTTTCAGACAAAATGGCAAACCATACGTTTCAGGTCGCAGACATAACATCTGCTGTCGTGAGATCAGGGCAATAAGAGGCCAGGGCTGAGAGGGGATAATGGGGGAGGCTACCTGCCTTTTCACAACATCGCCATTATCTCCCCTCCTGAACCTTTTCCCACAAACATTTATATCAATACAACAAAACAAAGACTGCAGATAAACACACAAGTTTGGATTTATATCCTTATTAGGACCGCATATTGACTTCTATTCATTTCCAGTCATTTCTGTAGCCTAACACTGACCAACAAAAGGTGTTCCACCATATTAGGAACCGTCTGTGGTCCCCAAATGGACTACTGGTCCTGACAAGAGAGGGGTTAATACCAGAAATTGTTCTAAATAGGTAACAAAGACCAGACACACACACACACACATTTGTATTTCTATCCTTATTAGGACCGTGTATTGACTTCCAGTCATTTCTGTAGCCCAATCCTGACCCTAAACCTAACAACTCCAAGTACATATCTAACCCTACYTACACCCCCCAACCCCCTGCCTATGATGTTCCACCATATTAGGACTAGTTTTTTTGGTCCCCAAAAGGACTACTGGTCCTGACCAGGTAGGTGTTTATACCAGAAAAGGTCCTAAATATGATAAAAACCAGACACACACACAAATATGTGTACTCCTATCTTCATGGGAACTTTGCATTAACTTCAGTCCATTCTATAGCAGGGGCGCCCAAACTGGGGCAAAATGAAAATCTATCCGGGGCTACGGGCCAAATGCAGAAATATAATACATGAAATACAAATACTTTTTACGTAAAGTCCTTTATTTTTAACAATTAAGCTAGTGGCGGCCTGCTTTTGTTTTAGTCTGTGCACTTGGAGAAAGTCTGCCATATGCTCAAGCAGCAAAGGCTCATGGGACATTTCATAAATTGATAAGAGAGTATTGGTGGTCTTATAAAGTGTATAAATCTATTTGTGGTTAAATCTAATCTAAATATCCCTTATTGTTACTTGCATTTCATTTTGTTTCTACTTAGGACAACAGGTTACAACTGCTGGCGGGCTAAATTTAGCAKGCGGGCCCCACTTTGGGCTCCTCTGCTCTATAGCCTAACCCTGACCCCTTACCCACCAATGGCATTTGCCCCACATGAGGACCAGGGTTAGGTACCCATWAGAAGCAATTGGTCTGTATCCAAAAAATGGTCCCCACATAGTAGGTAATACCAGCCCATGCACACACACTGACATTGATGCAGTTGGTACTGGCCAACGTCCAGATGCCTGAACACAGGAAGGTATGATTCACAAGGCAAAACAAACTAAATGTTTTTATAAAAAAATTTAAATAAAATAATAATAATAATAATACATTAACTGTGAAAAAAAAAAACAACCAGTTTTACTGTAGGTACACAAAGTTTTCACAAAATTTGTCACAAGAAACTAAAATAATAATTGTTTTTCTTTTTACCTGACTTACATTTTGTTAGAAAAAGAGGCACATTTTCTGAAAGCAGACATCAAGATTCCTCTCATCCCTCATGAGGTCTTTGGGGTGAAGGGTTGGGGGTAAAAAACCAAGGAAACTCCAGGTATTTTTTTAACCGTCTGAACTTAATCCACAACTTTATTTCATCAAGTCAGAAAAGCCATCTATAGTTAATATTAAAAAGGTTAACCAGCTTGAACTCTGTCTGCTACGAGGCAGAGGGAGATCAGCAGACGGGTTAAATGAAACAGATYAGGCCAGGATCTCAGCGGGGCGGGGGGGAGGACTGAAGTCTTTCTGCAGCCTYTGATTGACATCACTGTCACAGAATAAAGACAGGGTTCAACTTTTATCTCCACGCAAAGAAAGTTCACTTTTAGCAACTAACGACACAGAGTTGCACGCCCAGGGAAAATAAAATCAAATCAAATATTTCTAATGAACTCCTTCAGAAAAAGCTTCATTTGACTGATGCATTACAAAGTGTTGAGCTACATCTCACCGGGGTGAGTGTTCCCGTACAGCTGAGCTCAGATAAAGAGGTAACCAAAAACCACAGAAAGAAAATAAGAAGCACAAATAAACTGAAGCTGTAGATTTCAGACACGTTAGAAAAACTAAAGTCATTTTCTTTGAGTTCATCAGTTTTTTATATATAAATCCAGGCTGCATTTTTACAACCCAAAACAAATGTCTAATTCTCATAAAAGTACTAATTAGTAGCTTAGCATTCCATTAAGAAATGAATATTACACCTTGCCTTCAGGTCAGAGTTTTAAATTCAGGAATGATGACGTTACAGCTGTTTTGTTCAAACAATAAAAGCAACATTAAGTGAACGTTCACCCATATAGCAGGTATTGTGAATGATGCTCAGCTCAACAATTTTCAGCTCAACAATTTGACACTCAAAATAATCACGTCATTATTTAAAGTTTTTCAGGAAACACGTTTGAGATTCCTTACAAACTTTTAACTCCTTACGCCACATTTTAACTCAATATCTGTAAAACTTGCTGCCATTTCTATGTTTGCTAAGGTCAATCAGCTGTGGCAACCATCTTGGATTAGGTTGACGCTCAAAGGTTATCAGTTTTACCTGCCTATCTGAGGTGGGCGATAGTTAATTATTAATGGTGGTGGTTGCTGTTAAAGAATAAAGCTGGAAGTCTGAAGCATCACAGAGCAAGAGGTGTAATCTATTCAGTGTCGCAGCTGCCCAGTTGTGCTTGRAAAATAGGAACTCCCCCCAGCCCCGATGAGGGAGCAGAGAGCAAGGGGCTAGAAAATGAGGTTGTCGGCTTGATAAGTATGGGCTGTTACCTATGTTCCAAATCCACTTTTCTCAGCAGTCATAAAAGGTTTTGGGAGTCCAGCGTGAGGCGCTGCCCGATATGCTGCCTTGCACCGGTTCTCACACTTTCTCCTCCACTCCGAGATGAGAGGCAGATTGGAAGACCTTGGAGCCGGTGCTGGATTTCCTATMTTTTTTTTAAAGCATGTTTTCCAACATCACAGAGCCTCCTACCACGGCGAGGCGAATTTATGCGTTCAGACCGGAGGCCAAAGACTGAAAAAATCTCTTGGTTTGGTGGATTGGAAAACTGAGGAGAAAGAAAACAGAGGCTGTCTGGATTTGGTCGAGTCAACGAGCTGCTGGTAAACTCATTTTTTGTGGCATGTAATCTACAACAAAAATCGATTTCTGCTCTGTTCTTCGCCGGCGTGGGTACAGCTCGCAATTTGTGCAGGAGATCACAAAGTCAGCTCTCTAACGTTGGGTATAATTGCATAGGAGTGGATTAGGGTCTTCTCTCCACACAAAGGCCGCCTGTTTTCTCCTCTTCGACTTCGGCTCAGCAGGAAGCCTCCTCTCTCATTGACCCGCAGCCTGAGAGCGGCCATATTGACCGTCGTCCCTTATTGAGCTGCTCTCGAGAACCGAGCGGGCGGCTCTCAGATCCAGACCCATTTTCGGCAACAGAGGCCCGTCTGTGGCCCGGAACGAGGAAGTCCTGGGGCTGACGGAAAAGTAAACGCACTCGGTGGGGGATTGTGATTTTAAACCTGAAGGAGCCTTATAAGATTTTCTTCTTACTCTACGCTGGAATGCAGCTTTTCACACTCGATGCTCTGTTTTCCTGTTTCAAACCAGGATCCCTGAGATGTAAGACCTCTACGAAGGAAATAAGTCGAGTTAAAGAAATCATTAATAGCGCATCAAGATGAATGGATTCCTTTTTGCAGGAATAAAAAAGGGAGGCGGCGGGAAGGCACTTTGTAATAAACCTCAGCACTTCATTTGCCGAGCTCCAGCCTCTCTGCTATTTCTGTCTCTCTGCTGTTTGTCCTTCCACCCTCAGCGTCAGGGTTACTTTAATGACACTAATGGAAATGGCTGTCTCTGCTTCCCTCTGCCACCCCCCAGCCCCCTCCTTCATCTTTATACCTCTATTCTCCATCTCATTTTTCCACTGAATCTTTCATCCTCCAATCTCCCCAAACTCCTTTTCTCCACTTCCCATCTGTCACCGAGAGCCATCTGAGGGGAATAATAACGGCCCAGGCACTGAAAGTCTATGTGACTTCAATAAAACACATGAAAAAATAAAAGAAGAAAATGCAGAGCAGCAAGTGTTGGTCTAATAAGAAACACCCTTCTAATCAAAACATAAACGTATCGTCAAGTTTTATTAAAAAGTGATTGCAAGTTTGGGCTTGAT